GTGCCTCTTCCCATCGTCGTCAGCAGCTGCACACTGCCTCCAGGAGGCCTCCTCGGATTGCATCCGCTGGATTAGGGCTACCCCTCTGGGGACTCCCGCCGACGCAGCCCGTGGTGGAGACGCTGCAGAGCGGGGTCCGCGGGTCCCGCTCACGGCCACCACGCCCTGGCCGACGAGGGACGGCGGGCCCCGCGGCCAGTACTCACGTGTGGTGGCGGCCGCCGGAGAAGATGCGGGCATCCCCCCCCCCCGCGCTGAGGCTCAGCCGTTTTCCCTATGAAATCCCTCAACTTTCTCTTTCGGGGATGCTCAGGGGGCCTCGCCCTCTGCTCCCCGGGACACATGTTGCCAGATTTAGCTTCTCTTGCATTACAATCCCTGCATGGGGCTGCTTAGGGGAGGCAATGGTTGGGGTCTTCGCAGGTCCGGGGCGGTGGGAACGCCAGGGGACTGTCACCTGGCCCCGCTGGCCCCGCTGGACGCGTTCCCAGCCCCGCGGAGCTTCTCTCAGGCCACACGGGCACCATTTCCACCAGCTTCGTCGTCCACGGGGCCCCAGATGGGGAGTGAGCGCCTGCACCTTGTCCACTGCCCCCTCCGGCCATGGTTTGCAGTCGCCGTGGCGACACCCAAGGATGCTCCCCTCCGAGGCTCCCTGAGGCCGGCCCGCCCAGGCCTTGGCTGTCATCCTCTTGTTAGTCTCTGAGATACGGGGCCAGGGCTCCGCGGGCGCCAGGGCGGCTCTCGGCAGGGCCCAGGGTGCCTCCCCGGAGCCGGAGCCTTGAGGCTAATTAGAGGGTAACATGCCACAGAGCTGAGCCCCGTCCGTCCCGTCCCTGTCCCCGCAGAGGGGGCCTCCTGCCAACCCACAAGCCATTCAGGTGCAAACTGTTCTTGTGAGGCCGCACTTGGCTCCACCGCGGCGCCCGCCGGCGCCCTTCCCGATGAGAAGGCTTTGAGTGCAAGATGCTCTGTTTTGTTTTGTTTTTTTTCCCTCTCTCTCTCTTTTTTTTTCCTCTAGAAATGGCAATCAGCAACAAAGCGTTCATAAAAAAATAGGTCAGCGTTCAGATTAATTAGGAGCCAGATGCACGAGGACGTGGCTACGGAGGGGCCCGGTCTCCTGCGCTGGCTCTGCTGAGCTAATCCAGCCCGTGTTATTTTTAAGCACAAATATCAAAACGTCTCTTGACAAATGGGACGTGAATTGAATGAGTCTGTGCACACGAACTTTTGGCGCAAACACGTACGTGGCCGTGCTGGGCGCGTAAGGGGCGCAAGAAGGGTTTTCGGGGCTGGCTGGGCAGGAGCTGAAGGACGGGGATCCAGGTCAGTGGCCCCCCGGCCCCCCGCCCGGGCATCACCGAGGTCGCTTGCCTGACCAGCGGGCGGTGGGGGGGGGCACAGCATTGTCTGGGACGCCTCCGGCTCTCTTTGGGGCGCAGAGACCGTGCTGGGGGGGCCGGGGCTGTCACTCTGAAGCGGCCACAGTGTCCACTTGCCCCAGGCACGGAGCGGAGTGTCCCGGGGCCGGGCGGGCCGGGGTCCGTGCTCCCTCTGAGCGCTGGCTTAGCGCTTGGTGCCCCCCAGCCCCGCCGTCCAGCCGGTGCCCTTGCCCGAGGCGCTCGGGAGGGTCTGGCCAGTGAGGGGCACTGACGGGAGCTGGGGGCAGCAGGAGAGTGAGGCCCGGGCACCCGGCGGTGGGGGGGGCGCTCAAGGCTCCCACGGCCACCCCCCTGGGGACTGGCTCCCACCCCTGGCTGGTGCCCTAGCCCTGCCCACACCCGGGGCCCTGCCTGGAAGCGCCGCCTGCCTTGCCAGCACCCGGCCTGGTGAGCGCTGACGACGCTCGTGCCGACCAGCAGCGGCGACGGTCCTTGCTGCTCCCCTGCCCTCGGGGCTGCGGGGACCCTGAGCGGGCTCCAGGGCCACTGTGTCACGCCCCCCGGCGGCTCTGGGCCCCAGGGAGGCTCAGGACTGCACGCTGCTCCCGGCACGGCCCTACGGGGTGGGGGGATCGGTGCCGGCGCCCGAAGCACCACCTCAGGCTTTGTCCCACCCGCAGCCCCAAACCCGGGGGGCCCTGGGCGGCGGGCAGCACGGGGCTTGTAGGACGGCAGGGGTCCCTCCTTGGGATCAAGGCACCGTGGGCGTGTGTGTGGATGAGGGATCTGCTCACGCGCGGCTCCACGCCCAGGGCGGGACGCAGAGGGCCCGCAGCACCACGACTCCCGACACCTTCCCGCGGAGATGGAGGCGGCAGGCGTCCTGCCCACCTTCCGGCCCTTCGAACAACGGGAGCTAGAAGGACACTCAAGGTTCTTTCTGAGACGTGTCTACATGGCTCCTGCCCTGTTCCGGAGCTGGCAAAGGTTTCGGGCTGACAGAGGCCTCAGGGGCCAGCGCACCCCACCCTGGAGGCACCGGGTGGGAGCCAGTTGCTGTGCTCCGAGCCAGCCCACGGGGGGGGGGGTGGAGGAGCCCCAGCCTGGCTGCTGCCCCGATCTGCGGGGACATTGAAGAGCTGCCCCGCGGCTGGCCAGGGCCCAAGGCCCACGTGTGGGAGGTCCTGGGCTCTGTGCCATCAGAGCCCAACAGCCGCGAGGGCCTCCAGATCTTCCAAAAAGGGCACTGTCCACGGACGGGCCCCAGGTGGGGCTGAGTCACCCCAGCACCCCGCTGCGGCCAGCCCAGAGTCGGGCGGTCGGCGCCGTCCAGGCACAGGGGTCAGATGAGCCTTGGCAGGCTCAAGGCGCCAGGGTCCCGGCCAGGGGGCGAGGGACAGTCAAGCAGAGTGAGCTTGCGGCCTCCGTCTCATCAACATCTTCCGCGAACGCGCCCAAGTTCACCCTCAAACGTCTTTTTCACGGGACCGTCCTTGGCCTCCGCTGGAAGGGCACCGCGGGCTCCCTCGGCCGACCACTCGCCCCACCCCCGCCCCCGCCCCCGGCCAGAGCGGGACACGGCGGCCGCACGGACGATAGGGAACACGTCACGGACACCCCCACTCCGAGCGCCCCCGAGGCCCGGATTCCCACCCCACCTCCCAGGTTCCCGTCCACCTTCCAGATGGGGTTTCCTGGCTGGGGCCCAGGGCACGGAGCGGTCGGTCGGGTTTGTGTCCCCAGCGCAGTCCAGCCAGTGGCTCTACAAGCCAACGAGCACTTGCCCAGGAGCCCGACTGTGCTAGGCAGAGGCCGCTCCCTCCCCGCAGACTCCCGCTCCCCTTCCACCAAGGAGAGACCAGACGCGGGGTTGGGGTTGGGGTCGGCTCCGTTCCCGCCTGCCTTGCATCTGTGTTGCACCACGTGACCCAGCTCTGGCCAAAAGGCGAGCGCGCAAGTAACATTTACCCCGTGTGGGCCTGGCTCTTGCTGGACAGCCTGCCTTGCCGTCCCCTACAAGGCCTTTTCTCTGAGACGACGGACCCCCGCCCGAGTGATTCCAGGGGCCCATCTCTCAGGTTTCCAAGAACGACGCGTACTTAGAACCAAACGTACAAGACAGAGGTCAATTCGTCGCACGCAACGCACGCCCTAGAGCATCAGGGCCCCGTTTCCTCGGGAAACTGGATCAAGAAGGGTTGTTTCCGGGGCCACTTGTTGCAGACGGTAGAGTGTGGGTCAGCCTGGGTCCCTGAATGAATTCAGGGAACACAACACCCCCCCCCCAACAGCAGCAGCACGAGATGTGACCCAGAAATAATACATCTGCATTGTGCTGAGCCGCTGGCGCTTCAGGGTTTATCTGTCACGGCAGCCGGTGCTGTCTTGCACTCACACACTCACACGGGGAGAGAAAAGGCCGAGTCAGGTGCGGGAGGTCGCGGCTGTTTGGGAGACGCCCCCCCCCCCGGTCGCAGCTCACCCACCTTCTCCCACAGCCTGGGGGGACGCCTTGTGGGGGGCTGCACGGAGCCTAAGAGGGACGAGGCTGCACAGAGAGGCCCCCCGAGGCCCCTGTGACGGAGCGAGAAACTGGACGGACGGGTCGGGTCTCGACTGTTGGGAGGCCTCAGACTCAGCCGGGGAGATAGGCTGGGGTGGCCGTCGCCTCACGCTCAACAGGAGAGCCCGGGAGCCTGCATCCCGGACGAGCTCTGAACGGCTGGTGGGGGCCTATGCTTGCAGGAGCACGAGGCACAGTTACCCACGTCGCACAGCCCAGCCGTCTGGTGCTGCAAAGCCAGGAGAGCCGGCCTCTCTGGGACTAAGCATCAAACTAGCCAGGGTGGGGGACCGGGAGGAGGCTCAGAAAGGGAGTTCCCGGCCTAAAATCAGACACAGAAGGTGATGGCTGGAGGTGGCCTGAGTCTGAGGCCCACCTTCGCGTGGGCAGAGGGAGTGGGGGAGGCCTTGGGAGGAGGCCCCTCCCCGCAGTAGACCTTGGCTCCCTCCACAAAGCCCCTCCTGCCCGGAGCGGCCCGGCCTGGCAGTCAGCCTGGTCCCCTCCCTGCGCTCTGACCCCCTCTTGCCTGCCCCCCTACGCCCCCAGCCCCTGCAGCTCCCTAGGAGAGCAGGTGCTCGCCTCGGGGTGCCCTCCTGTCCGGGACAAGGCTCCATCCTCTCCCCACCCGCGGAGAGGCCCAGGACCACTGTGGACGCAGCGGGGGGAGCAGAGGCTCCCGGCCAGGCCGGCGCCCGCAGCCTTGCGCGAGGTCTCCACGTTCCTGCCTCAGCCAGCAGACGCACGCCGCCGCCTTCTAGCCAGCTCCTCCCGCCCTGGGCGCTAGTCCTCCGCCCTCTGGGCCCTGACGTCTCCGGGAGAAAACGGGCGGGTCCTCCAAGCTCAAGACAGGGCTCCCACACCGCGGGCACAGCTGCACCCAGGTCGGCACAGGGCGCCCCGGCCGCCTTCATAAGCTCTCGACTCCGGAAACAGCAGGAGGCAAGTGGGCCGCGCTGCGGAAGGCCTGGCCCACGCGCACCCTGGGGCGCCAGCAACCCGCGGCCGAGCCAGGCCACCCCCCTCCAGGGCCCCCCACCTGTACCTGCCCTTACCTGAGCCGCGCCAGTGGCACAGAAGGGCCGCCTGGCCCCGTGGCGGCGATGCTGAGGATGCCGCGGCCGCGACGGTGGTGGTGGCTGTGTGGGCCGCAGAGGCGGCTGCCACCTCCGGGACTCCCGGGCTCCAGGCTGCAGCAGGAGGACTCCCCGGGGGCGGGCTTTTGTCGCTGCGGCCGGGGTCGGAGGTGGCGCGGCCCACGGTGCCGGTGGCTCCCACGGTGTTGGCGTTAGCGGCGCTGGCGGGGACGTGGCGGCGCGGGCCGCTGCTCTGCATGTGCGACACGGCCTCGGCGGCCTGCATGTTGGGCGGCGCGAAGCGTGAGAGCACGCGCAGCAGCGCCTGGGCCTTGTGCTCCTGCGTGTCGTCGTCGCTGTAGTCGGACACGCGGCATTCGTACACGCCCTCGTCCTGCCGCCGCACGGCCGACAGCCGCAGCCGGTGCGAGATGTCATTGCCCTGGACACGCACGGTCTGCAAGAGAGCAGGGGCAGGGTCAGAGGCCGGAAGCGCAGGCGCCCCACGCCCCGCTGCTCCCCCCCCCCCCCCCCCCCGGCCTTGGGCCCCGGGCGCAGCGCTCCAACACCTCCCGGACGCACGTGTGCCCTTGGCCACCCAGTTTCCTTTCATTCCGTGCCTCCCCAGGGGCACGGGGCGCCCAGCCCTGACTGTTCCCAGACGGCCCTACCCGTTTCGTCGTGTCCGAGTCCTCTTAAGTGAAGCACCATGCTGCATCCCCCCGCCCCCCGCTTCTGCCTTGCAGAGCTGCGGAACCTGGGACCCATCCGTCCTCCCTCCCTTCTGCACCTTGGAGCACCTCCTGCGGCTTGGAGCACCTCCTGCGGCTACGACCCGCATGTCCCCCCGGGCCCCAGCCCAGCCCGCACATCTGCACCCTCGCTCCTTTACTCCCGGGCAGTGCCTGAAGGACGGCCGCCCCACTCCCCAGAGCACCCGTCAATAAATACCTGCCCCCCAGCCCTTCGCAGCTAACCCTCTGCCGTCCCGAGGAGGCGGCAGGCGGCGCTGAGGCTGCTGCTGGGTCCCAGGGGCCCCCCGCCTTGCAAGGCGCCTCCGCGGCGGCCTGGAGGACACGCGGACAAGCACCCGCTTCGGAGCCCTCCCCTCCGAACTGAGGCCCGGCGGTCACTTCCACGCTCCAGCTGGGAGAGCCCCGGCGCAAATCCCCGGAGTTCCGAGCCCCGCGACCCCCGCCCACCGCGTTCCCCACACCAGCCTACAGAATCCGGCGCCAGGACCCAAAACCCAGGCCGAGGAGAGGGCTGCGGCGGAGGGCGCCTCGTGGGCGCCGGGCGGCTGCCTGCCTGGGGGTGGGGGTCAGGGGGAGGCCCACGGGTTGGCGGACCGGCCACCGCCTGCTCGGGGGCAGCGCGCTCTAGTCGCTGGGAGATGAGCCCGCAGAGGACGGGACGCGACCGCAGGGGCCTGAGCGCTCCCGCTGGACCGAGGAGAGTTTCACAGGTGAGCACCGGACCGCACGGGGGAAGGAGACTCAAGCCCAAGACCCTTGATTTGCACAAAAGCGAACCGATTCCGCTCGCGGCGACAGATGGCGCCCCGACCCGCCAAGCAGCCAGCCTGCGAGCGCGGCCCTACGAGCGGGCGCCCGGCCTAGGAGGGAGGAGGGTGTGGGGCGCGAAGCGGCCAGAAGGGGTCTCCCGCGGCCCGCGCTGGGCTCCACACTTACGCTGATTTTAGTTGCATCCTTATTTGTCACCTAAAATGCAAAAACGGGGAGAGACACATTAGGCTCTCGGCCTTTAGGCTCCGGGAACTCGGATGCGCCTCCGGCGAGGGGCCTCTATGCGGGCGGACTGGGGCTCGCCAGGGCTCGGGATGCGCCGGGCTGAGGAGCGCGGCATGGAGGACGCGAGGATTTCCTGGAGTTTTACCCGGAAGGAAGGAAGCAGGGCTTGGACTAGCGCGGTGCCTGGCCGAGGAGGGGCCGCCCCGGCACACCTGCCGGCAAGAGAGCAGGCTGGATTGCCACCAGGGTGGGAAAAGGCTCATCTCCCTGCCCCGGAGCGTCCTCATTCCCTGCCGTGCGTCTCTAACCCCCCGTGGAAAGCTGGACGGAGGGCCCGGTGTATCTGGACAGGACGCAGAGGGAGACGTGAGCAGTAACTCTGGGTGGGACCCCGGGGAGAGGTTGGTACCTGTGTGTGCGCGCGTCAGAGTGTATGTGGGACGCGGGCTTAGGAGGCGGACAGACAGTGGGGGCCTCCCCTCCCACCCCGTGGGGGCTGGGGGTGCTCCGGCGGCCTCTGGATCCCGGCCCAGGGAGCTTAACTCCTCGGCCCCGTGCCCTGGGGACGTCCGAGTAGCAGAGGGCAGGGAAGGCCCGGCCCTGGCCCCACGGAGAGGTCTCCCTTCCCGGCCCAGCTCCGAGCGGACTGGGGCCGCCGCGGCCAGCAGGAGCGGGCCAGCTGGGAGAGGGGCTGCTTCTGAGGGGCGAGGCTGCAGTTCCCGAGGTTTTAAGGGAAAAGAGAAGGGACGGGATTGCGAGGACTCGTGCTGCCCTTGAAGGTGCGGTGGGGAAGGGGAGGGTGGGAGACGGGCTGCTCCTTGGCGCGCCCCCCGTGCCCGCCCGGTCACCCCGGCTGTGCGGCCGAGCCCGGGGAGCGCTGCGGGTTACCTTGCCCCGGGCGCCGGGCACGCTGAGCGCCAGCTCGTGCAGCAGCTCCCGGGGCGGCTCCTTGAGGTACCACCACTGGATCTCCAGCGAGTACGAGGTGGCTCCGCTGGCCCGGAAGGCGCAGGGCATCTCGATGTCGTCTCCCTCCCGGACTGTCACATCTTGGGGGACTTCGGTAAATGTCGCTGGGGGCGGGGAAGAGAGAGGCGTGACCGAGTGCGGGCCGGGGGGCCCCCCGCGTGCTCGCCCCCCGCCCCCCTCCCCAGGGCGGCCCGGGCGCGGGCAAAGTTGGGGGGAGCCCGGCCGGCGGGCGCCGCAGGGGCGGGGGCGGGGGCGGGGGCGGGGGCCAGAGCAGCGACCCCGGCGGGGCCCTCGCCCCCCCCCCGCCCGCGACCTCCGGCGCCCCCGCGGGTCCCCAGCTCACCGTGGGCCGCGCAGAGCAGCAGCGCGTGCAGCAGCAGCGGCGGCAGGTGTCGGAGGGCGCCGGGCCGGCTCCGCTGTTCCATCTCCCGGGGCGCGGCTGGGCTCCCCCCGCTCGGGCTAGGGCGCCTCGGAGCCTGCCATGCCCGCGCCCCCCGCCCCGCCCCGCCCCCGCCCCGCCCGGCCGCCGCCAATCAGCCCCGCGCGCTCGCCGCTCGCCCGGGGGCTCGGGGGCTCGGGGGCGCGGGGGGCGCGGGGGCGCGGGGGCCCGAGGGCGGCGGTCGGGTCCGGCCGTCCGGGGGGCGCGGGGCGCGGGGCGCGGGGCGCGGCTCAGGCTGTGCCGGGAGGGCCGCGCGGAGGCCGGGCCGCCCCGGGACCCATGCCCCGCCGGGAGCTGCCGCCGCCCCCGCCCCCGCCCCCGCCCCCGCCCGCCGGTGCCTCCGCCGCCGCGTCCGCAGGGCGACTGGGCGCTCAGCCGCGGCGCGCACACCTGGAGGCAGACCCCGCGCGCGGGCACAGCGGACTGGCGGGGCGGGCCGGAGCCCGGGGGGGCGGGGCGGGGAGGGGAGGGGGGAGGAGGGAGGAGGGAGGGAGGGGAGGAGGAGGGAGGGGAGGGAGGAGGGAGGGGAGAGGAGGAGGGAGGGGAGAGGAGGAGGGAGGGAGGGGGCGGTCAGTGGCTGCGCGCCAGCCGCCTCCACGCGGCACCCCCCGCCCTCCCCGCCCCGCCCCGGAGGGCGCCCCTCCCCTCCCTCCCCCGCCCCTCCCTTCCCTCCCCCTCCCCACCCCGCGGGGGCGCCCGGAGGGACCCGGCTCCGGCTGGAGCGCAGCCCCCCCCTCCCCGCGCAGCCCTGCCCCCGCGCGCCGTCTCCGCAGACCCCCGCCCCCCCCGCCCCGCTCTGGGCCAGGAGCCGCACCGCGCTCGGTCCCGGGCCGGGGTGGGGGGCGGGGGCGGCGCCGGGGCCGCAGTGCCCGAGCGCCCGGCGAGCAGGTGCGGGTGGGGAGCGCAGAGCGGGCCCGCGGGCCGAGGCCGTGAGTGACGGCAGGGGCGGGGCGGGGCGGGGGGGGGGCTGCGCCTGGTCGTGGCCCTGCGTCCCCGGGGGTCCCGCCGCTGCGCAGCCCATGCCCCGCCCCTGCACCCCCGTCCCCGCAGCCTGCACCTCCCCCAGCCTCCCGGAGCCCTGGGCGGGGAGGGGGGGCGCGAGGGGGGGCGGCGTGACCCCCACGGACCGGCCGCGCGTGGCTCCAGCGTGCCCCGGGCTGCAGGGGCGAGTCCGGCCTCGCCGGGGTCTCCCGCGCCTCCTGCCCCGTGGGAGCCCCCAACTGCGGGTTTGGGTTTCTGGGTCGCTAACTTTGCAGGCTCGAACCTCGGGGCCCAGTCCCGGCAGGGGCGAGGGCGAGGCCGCGGCGGGCGGGGCGGAGCCGCTGCTTTCCTTGCTTCACCCGAGTTTCCCCGCAACTGGGAGTGGGAGCCCCTGAGGGCAGGTACCTCCCGGCTGCCGGCCCCGCTCCCCTCAGTCCCTTCCCAGCCCTGCCCTTCCAGCGGGATGCGGGATGCGGGATGCCCCTGGACACTGAGCCCTCTGCCCTGCCTGGCCCCCGCTCTCCGCACCCCCAGCTGTGACCCAGGAGTCATTGCCACCCCTCAGGCCACTGCTGCTCGCCTCGGGAGCCCTTGTGTGCCGAGGTCTGTGGCTGGGAAGGGACGCGTGTGTAGGGACTTCCTCTCCTACAGTTCCCCGGCGGGGACTCCAACCCAGCTGCCTGTCTTTCATCCCCCCAGGACCCTCTTTCATCCCCCCCAGGACCCTCTTTCATCCCCCCAGGACCCTCTTTCCCTTAGAAATCCTACCTCGGGTTGCCGAAAGGAAGACCCCGCTGGCCCCACTGCTGTCCTCGGCTTCTGAAGGGAGGGGGCAGGCTTGCACTGTGCTGCAGAGGCTCAGGCCCTTGATGGGATTCTAGGAAAGCGGATTCCAGGGGCGCCGACAGCAGGCGGGGCTCGGGTGGCGAGAGCTGGCCCGCTGGGGGACGGCAGGTGCCGGAGCGGCAGCCGTGTGCTGCTCTGAGACCAGACCCAAGCCCCAAGCAGAGACGAATGACCGGCCACCGGGGATACGCAGCCGGAGGGCTACACCGCGGCTCCCCCAGAGACCTGAGTGTTCCGACCCTGCAGCACCAGCCGGGGGGGGGGGGGAGGGCAGGTGTATTGGTGTTACCATCAAGGACGGTCACGGCCGTCCTTTCACCTGCTCTTTGGGTACCAGGCGCTGGGTGCACCCTTCCCTGGCGTTAGTCCCCACCAGGACAATCAAGCCACCCTTTCGGCTCCTCTGCAGCGGCTGACAAGGCCCAGCCGGCCGCCCTCTCTGCCGCTCCACTGCGCGGTGCTGGTCGTGGGTTTTCTGTCCTTTCCCTGCTCTCTCTCTGGCCGCCCGGCTTCCTTCCTCCAGCACCACGCCGTGCTCCCGCCCCAGGGCCTTTGCCCCAGCCGCGTCATCTGCCCGGGATGCTCCTTCCCCGTACCTGGCTCACCAAGCGTCCTGTTCCTCTGCTTTTAGCTCAGCAGCCGCCTTCTCAACAAGGCCCCTGGGCCGTCTGCAGGCCCCGGTCCCCAGGACTCCCTCACCCGCTCTCCTCTTCCTCCTTTCCTCGGTACTGACCGCCCTCCAGCAGAGGCTAGGTGATGTCCTCATCTATCCGTACCCCCTGTGCTTCTCGTCCGTGGCTGCAGTCTCCACGAGGCTGGGGCTCCTTGCTGGTTTGTTCACGAGGCTCCCCCGGCGCCTACACCGGGTCTGGCGCAGAGTAAACCCGGTAAGTACTTGGGGGACGAGCGAGAGCGAGAGCAAGCGCTCACCTGACCCGTCACTGCCCTGCGGGGGTGGAGGCCGATTTCACTGCACCTCTGAGTTGCTGTGGCTGAAGCTCAGAGCTCCCGGGTCCCCGGGCCGTGAGCTGGCGAGCGGCAGAGCCCTGCAGCCCAGCTCTGTCTTCGTCTGGGGCCCAAATTCTGAACAAAACACTCAAATGTTTGCGCTCTGGGTGCGGCTCTGATCCCTGCACCCGGAGTGCGTGTGAAGAGCAGCGCCCCTCTGCCCTTGGTTGGGGTGGACGGGACCCTCCCTGAGGCGTCCTCACGGCTGGTTGGGGGGCGCCCGCAGTTCTGTGTCCGGGGACCGTCTGCTCCTTGGTCCCCTGTCGCCGACGCAAAGGCAGCAGGTGCGCCTTTGGGCCCCGTGTCTCTGACCCCAGCTGGGCCAGGCCCCGCTCAGCTCAGCACGTGCCGCGGCCAGGAGTGTTAGTTGTGGCCGGAAGGGGCCGGGAGGGGCACTTTGTCTCCCCCCAACCCCGCAGGGGAGCTGGTGCCTTCTCGCTGCGTCTTGAGTCGCGTCTGGCGGCTCTAAACAGGCGCGTGCGACGGAGCACGTGTGTGGGTTCTCCTGTTCTCAGAAGGAAACGTCTCTCTGCCGACGCAGTCACCCCGCTCACCCCTGCCGCTGTCCCTTGGGCTCCCACAAAGATGCCCCGTTGGGAGGACACGTTGGTCGCGTGAAGTGAGGCTGGTTGCCCACTGACGGACTTTTGAGAGCATTTCGGAGCCGCTGCGGCCCCAGTCCTGACCGTTCATCCGTAGGCAGGGACAGACGACGTCCTTCGGGCTGCAGGGGTTTTCCTCCCGTCTCTCCATTCACGGGCCCCGAGATGCCTGCAGGGTCACTGTGAACTGGGACCGCGGGTGGACGGCCTGTGGCGTGGCCACTAGGCCCTCGGTGTCCCTGAGCCACCCTCCCCGGCCCGCGCTGCCCGTGCTCCTTGTGCTGGGGACGGAGTCGCTGGCCTCTCAGAGGCACTTCAGATTGAAGGGACTGCCCAGCTTTCCCGAAGGCCCCTTCCGTGACAGCCCTAAGTGAATGTCTTTCCTGGAACTCACTTTCAAAATGTATTTATTTTAACGCTCAGGTCCTCTCGGAGTTTTGGTTTCCATGTTCTCTCCTCGGCCGACCTTTCCTGTCTTCCCCGTAGCGCGTGGTACAGCAGCATTGATTCGGGGTAAAGTATTTTGATTTTAAGGTGCAGCCCATCCATAAACTTTTCTATCAATAATCCCGGCGCACTCTGCGTACCCGACAGCCTGAAGGAAAACGCTAGATTTATGGGGGCCTGTGTTTTTGGCCAGTTGAGTCATTCCCTGGGCTTCGCCATCAGGGGATAAAGGCCTGAGGCCTGGGGACCACCCGGGGCAAACGCGAGGTCCGCACCTCCAGATGCAGGGGGCGCGGGGTGGCCCTTGCCGTGCCCTGGACGGTGGGGAGGAGCCGATGACTGGCTCCCTTGGGGGGGACATGGGGGAGGTTCCTGTTGTCCTCTTCCCTTCCCGGAGGATGGCAGTGGGGCTCCAGCCGCTGCATCACGTGTAGACGGGAGGGTCCTCCGGCCACCGGGGAGGCAGGCGGGCCCCGGCCCTGCCCCTGTCCGCGCACTCCCAGAAGCAGGCCTGGCTTTTGCAGCCCCGGGTCTGGCCTGTCCGTGCTGTGCTGGTGTCACTGCGCCGGGTGCCCTGCACCTGGGGCTGTTTGTTTGCTTGTCACAGACAAGATTGATTGGGCTTGCAGGTTGCCTGGAGGGACGCAAGGAGGGGGGCAGAGCCTGCTTCACCTCGAGGCCTATGCGGCCCACCTGCCTGAGAGCCCCGTCTCGGTCGAGCCAGCTCGTACCGGCAGGCGTGGACTCCGTGGCGTGCTGCCCGCGGGGGAGTCCGTAGCCTCCTGCCCGCAGGGAACCTGCATTTCAGCCCAGAAGAGGGCAGAGATACACCTGCAATGAAGAAATCAACCCTAAGCCTGATGCTCTTAGCTGTGTGCAACGTGCAACCCGCCGCCCACACGTGCACGTGCACCTACACGCCCCTCGGTGCACGCTTACCTGCCTACCTGGAGGGAGCCCCGGGGGACAGAGGACGACCCGACGCGGTCAGCCGGGTGGAGACTGGGAGAGGCAGTGGAGGCCCGGGGTCGGCGAGCTGGGCGGCTGGAGGGCAGCAGGCGGCCGGGGCTCCTAAGTGGAGCGTGCGCGGTGGGGCTGGCATGACGGGGCCGGCCGGGGCGCGTGTGGCCTCCTGGCCACGTGGGCCTTTGTGTGCCCGGAGCAGTGGCACTCAGACATGGACAGGACTGCGCCCCGGTCCTGGCCTTGCAGCTTAGTGAGGTCAAGTCGGGTGCGGGTCCCGGGCAGCTTCAGGTTGCTGGGGAGCTGGGCCCCCTCCGGTCCAACCCCTGCATGTGTGGCCCTTTGGCTCGGGCCTGCGAGAGGAACTTGACCGGCTGGGTCAGTGGCCCGAGGTTAGGATGCGTCAGGATCCCAGGGGAGCAGTGGCCCGTGCAGTGGGAGACTTGGGGCCCCGGGGAGCCGGGGAGGGCCAGCAGCAGAGCCCAGGGATGGCGGCGTGAGGTAGGGCTGGGAGCCGGCAGCAGCGGAGGGAGGCCGTGCCCTGTCTGGACTCCGAGAGGGGCCTGTGCCGAGCGCCCCCGTCCCCGCTCTTCCCCCCGCTCTCGAGAGCTGCTGACGACCAACAGCACACTGGGCGCGGGGGCTTCAGGGTGAGCCCCTCGGTGCCCAGGTCTAGGGGCACCTTCCCCGCCCCTCCCTGCGCTGTGGTGCCCTGGAGTTCCCTTGGCCCCCGAGGTCTGCCTGGAAAAGCCCCCGAGCCTCCGTGCCCCAGCTGACGATGGGAATTCGGTTCCTGCCCCCGCGGCTCTGTCCCCGGCGCCTCCGTGAACCCGCCCACGGGCGCTGGGCCGGCCTGGGCAGGAGGGTCTCGGCGCTGCCCGGGCGGCCTGGAGCCGGGGGTCCCCCGTGGGCCTCATTACAGCCCATCTGCGTGGCGTTCGTGGGCTCGTGTGCCAAAGTAAATCTTACAGACCTGTGATGACTTTGTTTTTAGATTTTTAATATTCTCCATACACTTGGGGTTTCATTTCCCACCAGATCTATTAGTTTAATTTAGTAGGGGACGGAGCGTACACTTAACCAAAAATTGCTTTGACGTTATGGGGAATTAAGAGGCCGGGGCCACACGGATCTGCGCAGACCGATGGGTCTGAGATAAGACCCTGTTATTTCCCCCTGTGCCTGCTTCACCTCCGTGGCGAGGCGGGCGATCAGGCCAGGGGTTGGCCTTGGACTCGGGGTCGGGGTCAGGGTCTGGCTCCGGTGCTCCCTCCAGACCACACTGAGGCTGCTGTGGGACGGTCCCAGGGTGGATGCTCCCGGGCCCCAGGCGTCAGTCGGGGCCGAGCAGCCTCGTGCACCCTGGGGATCCCCGGCCTGGGCGCGGTGCTGGAAGCCGGGCGGGTGTTGACCCCGCTCCCCCTCCGGTCACCTCGACCCCTGTGCTGCGGCTCCCGGGGCTCGTGTCCACGAGCTGGCCCATGCACTGTCGTGGGGAGACCCATGCGGTGACTATGGGCCGAGTCCCCGGCGTTTCTGGGCCCCGGGAGCAGCTCAGGACGTGCTGCTCAGGCTGAGCGGACCCCGGGCCTCTTTCCACGCCTGGGTCCGTGCTGCTGCCCATGGCGGCTCCGGGGGCGGGGGGCACAGGCACCCTGGGGCCACGTCTGGGCCCCGCCGCGGTCAGTGGCGTCTGCCCTGGGTGGGGCGGAGGGGCAGGGGACTGGCCGCCTCCAGGGAAGCCCCCTGGGCGCCCGGAGCGGGAGCGCCCCTTCCCCACTTTCCGGTCGGGGCCGCAGGTCTGCGCCTGCCCTTGGCCGGCTTGGGCGTGAGCCCCGCGACCCTCCTGGTGGAGCCTTCCCGCGCGGGGCTACCTGCAGGGACCGCGCTGGCCTGGCCCCTCTGGACCCGGGCACCTCCCGCCTGTGCCGCCGGCGGCTTTCTCAGAGGCCCGTCCATCCGTCTGTCCGTCCTGCTTCCGTCCTGGTCGGTGGCTGCTCCCCGCCCCGGGCCGCCGCGGGGAAAGCCGGGGGTCAGGGGAACACGCGGCGGCGGGTGTGGGTTTGGCCTCGATGACTTCAGGGTCGCTGCACGTCCGGTCCGGGGGCTCGGGGGTCGGCCCGTCGCCCTCGCTTGGCGCACCCGGGCGGATGCAGGGGCCGGGAGGGCCGGGACCCCGGGCAGGGGCTCCCAGGGCGGCCTGAGCACGCTGGCCCCCCCCCACCCTGCTGAGCCAGCCCGGGAGCACCCCCCACCCCCGGCAGCGCCGTGACCTTCACGCGGACTTGCCCCCTTGTCCCTCCTGCCGGTGGACTGGCAGCTGCCAGAGCCGCTGTGTGTGAAATGTCAGCGGTGTAATATCAATTCTGGAGGTTTTATTGCTTCCCCCCCCCCCGTGTTCTGGTGGGATTTTGATCCAATCAAGGCCGATGCCGAGTGACGGTGGATTTGTGTTCCCGTCCCAAGTTGACAAAAGGTCACCCTGCCTGGGAGCGGGGGCTGACTCCTGTCCTGTCCCGGCCCGGCCCTGCGGCGTCGCCTCCCAGGGGGCCGGGGTGGGGTGGGGGCGGCCCCTGCTTCCCCTGGGCCCTGGGCGCCGGGGCTTAAACCTGGGCGGTCGCCAGCCACAAAATGCCCTGGTTTTGCTTGCAAAGTGTCTTTGATGCTCCAGACCTAAATTAATTTTTCACAGTAATGTTTCAAAATGTCATTTTTCCCTTTGCAACAACAAAAACGCGCCGCAGAGCAGGGTGCTCTCGTGGGAAGCGGCGTGAGGCAGGGCAGGGCCCAGGCCCCGGCTGCACCGGCGCCCGGTCCTCCTCGGTCTGGCTCGGCCGCCCACTGTCCCCAGACAGCAGGACACCCCGTCCTGCTCGTGTCGGCCGGGGAGCTGGCACGGGTGGCGGACGGCTGGGACGGTGTGGGTCACGCCTTGGGCTTGCCCTGCGGCACGTTGAGGGGGGTATCCGGAGCTGCGACCCGGCCCGGCAAGCCCCCGAGTCCCCGGTGGAGGGCCAGCCCGACAGACGAGCCGCGGCTCCCTGCTGCGTCCTCGCGGGCCTGCCCCACGGGCTCCGCGGTGCCGCGGGTGCCGAGGCCGGAGGGACGCGGCGGGGCTGCTGGGACCGCAGCTGGGCAGCCTCGGGGAGGCCACGCGGCCAAGCTGAGCGGAGGCAGGGGTGGGCGGCACCTGAGCGCAGGGCGACAGATGGGCGGACGGTGCCTGTGCAGAGACGACACAGCGCCCCCGAGCAGCCCTGCCCACGCCGCACCCCGCACTGGGCCTCGCCGGGCGTCTCCGCACACGTGCAGGGGGGGGGCGTGTGTGCACACGTGAGTGCACAGGTGTACCTGCGTGCAGACGGCCTGCCTCTCCGGGTGCACGCGGGCGCCCGTGCACGGCCAGCATGCAAGGGTGTGAATGGGCCGCACCTGCCCAGCGTGTGCGTGGGGGGCGTGAGCGTGGGGGCGTGAGCGTGGGGGCTGGCGTGCGGTGCAGGAAGGCAGGGGCCACGCCACAGCCAGGCGCTCGCAGGCGGCGAGCAGGAGGCGGGAGACCAGAGACCAGCTCTGCCCCCACCCCCTCCCGGCTTCTCCTCGCCCGATCCCTCCCTCTCCTGCCCCTCCCTCCTCCTCCTCCTCCTCCTCCTCCTCCTCCTCTGTTCCACGCTGCTCATCGCTCTGGGATGGCAAACCCGTGCTGGCTCCTGCCCTGGTGCCCTTGGCCAGTCCCAGTCGTCCTGGCTGCTCCGGGAGGACGAGGGGCTGGGGGTCCGGGCAGGCCCTGTCCACATGCCCCGTACAGCCCCCCATGTGCGCGCCCCATATGCCTGCCTTGTCCATGTGCCCCGTCTGCTTGCCCCGTCCACGTGCCCCATCCACCTGCCCCATCCACCCCTCCCCATCTGCCTACCCCATCTGCCTGCCCCATCCACCCACCCCCGTCTACCATGCCTCTTCTACCCTGTCCCATCCACCTGCCCTGTCCACCTGCCCCATCCACTCCTCCCCGTCTACCTACCCCATCTGCCTGCCCTGTCCACCCACCCCAGCCCATTCACCTACCCTATCTGCCTGCCCCATCCACCCCACCCCATCTGCCCTTCCCCATCCACCCCACCCCGCCCCGTCCACCCCATGCCTCGAGTGCTTCCCGT